AATCTAGGGCAGTGATGGCAAACCTATGACACGCGTGTCAGAGGTGACGCGCGAACTCATTTTTTTGGTTGATTTTTCTTTGTTAAATGGCATTTAAATATATAAAATAAATATCAAAAATATAAGTCTTTGTTTTACTATGGTTGCAAAGATAAAAAAATTTCAATATGTGACACGACACCAGAGTTAAGTTAGGGTTTTTCAAAATGCTGACACGCAGAGCTCAAAAGGTTCGCCGTCACTGATCTAGGGAAACAAGAGTGAAGACAACATTATCAGTAGCTGCCATGTAGAGACTGGAGTCACAAAAAAGGTATTCTTCTGATCACTGTGGTCTAAGAAAAATAATTTGAAATACAGTTTCAGTTGCTATATAAATTTGAAAATGAAAGATCTGGACAAAAAGGAAGATTTAAGCAGGATGCTTGTGTCTTCTTTCTACTTTTAAATTCAAATCTGTCAATGCAGAAATAAAAAGAGCAGCTTCTTATGATCCCAATAGCAGAACATTAACCTTAACACTAAACTGAACTCTAACCACACCTCCAGTTTAGAAACTTCTTGAAGTATGTAAGGACTAATTTGAGAAAATCCCAATTTGTCTTCTGTTTGGCTAGTAAGAGCTGGAAGTTGGATGTTTTTTGAAGCAGTTAAAAGTGTTGGACCTCCTCTTTCATCATTATTTTCTGATTTCCTTGCATGGAAAGTGGAGAAAATAGTTCCCTACAAAATTTTCATTTCTAATTCCTTTTTTTCTGTGATTCAACAACAATTCTAAGATCTATAATATTTTCTTAAATGAAACATGTAGTCCTGTGATTATTTAGAAGAGAGTAGATACAACAAAACCCCAAAGGGGCTGAGATTAAGGGAGGATATTGAATCCCTTAAGTGTAGCAGTTTGGAGACATAGCTTTTGTGGGCTCCAAGATAAACAGGAGTTGCCATGCCCTCCTTGGGCCACACCTACTCAAATCTCCTTTTTTGCCGGGAGCCGGTCCATCCTTGCTGTTTCAAGGGACCTGGCATATATGGCATATTGTTCTTAATATGTTTGCTCACCTTCTTGGCACTATGTGTTTTAACCAAGGTCACCTCTCTGAGAAAGGTTGTTTCCCCAGGTAGGGATTTTCTCCTGAAGTTAGGGAGGGAATAAAACCTCTTAACTAAGTGCCAGGCGGGTAATTAATCACTTTAACTACGAACAATCGTGCTTAAGCTACATAATCTTTACTCCCTGGAATGAAGATAAGAATCGCCCTAACCTTTGTAATAGAGATTGATAGGATTGAATCAACTGGTATAAATACAGATGCAACAAGACAGCAAGAATCAGAACTCAGAACACAGAACGAAGAAGACAGAACTCAGAAGAAGGAACCTACACAGACAGAAGAACTTCGCTGGAGAGAACATGGCAAAAGATCCTGCACTGAACCTGACTACAGAAATTGGCAAGAGAACCTGACTAGAACCTGGTAACTGAACCTGGCTGGAGAACCTGGACAGAACCTGGCTGGAGAATCTAGCAAGGGAACATGGCTACAGAACCTGGCTGGAGAACCTAGCAAGAGAACATGGACACAGACCCTGGCAGGAGATCCTAACCAGAACTTCGCTGGAGATCCAGACCAGAACTTGGCTGGAGATCCTGGATGGAGATCCTGGCTAGCCTGCTGATCAACTGAACGCTGTCCCCATGTCATTCCTTCTTCGCCGACTCCATCCATGCCTTTGGGGACCCCTGGACCTGCTGGGGTTGGACCCCGGCACTTTTTGAGTAAAATTTCTTTCTCCTAAACTCTAAGGGCCCCCACAAGACTTGCAACCAGGGGAGCAATGGGCAGCAGCAGCTCATCCCAGGTTAACACCCTGAACTCCTCTTCTCTGACTTCCCAGTGAGCTGACTGCAGCCGCACCTAGGCTTATTTCTTTCCCACTGCATTTTAACCAGCCCCACTTAGGCTCTCCCCTGTTGCTTCTTCTATCCCTGTTTCACTGTCCCCAGCTTTAATAAATGTACTCTCAAAAATCACATGGATATATGTTGTGAAGTATTTCCTGCATGAAGTAAAAATAAAAAAAAAATATTCAGGAGTCTACTACTTGAGCTCTAGGCAAAAAATAAGGCCTCAAAATTAGCTCATAGGTTGTTTTTCCTATTGTTGATAGATGTGAGCTCAACAGCTATAGTGATATTTTCTGAATTCCTTAAATCCTGGGGTTTTCCCACTTTTAAAATAATATTGGAAGAAGTGTCAAGCCAAGGAATATTAATGTATTATTGTAAGACATAGAGTAAAGAGAGTTTATCTTCTGTGACTTTATGTTGCTTGGGCCTTATTTCAGAAGAAATAAAATATTTTCAAAACTACCCTAAATGTTAAACCTGTTTATAGCTCCTCAGAAAACAAATACAGTTGACCCTGAAAAAAGCATGACTATCAGTCAAATGGTTTACTTCTGTACAATATCAGTACTTGTATATTATATTATTACTTAATATTATCACTAAATTAATATAATCAGAACCAAGCTTATAATAAAAATACATGTGCAAAAACCCCAAATTTCCTGCCTAATGCCATGTTTCTAAAGTTATTAAATTGTTGACTACTATTGTCCAGACCTTGAACACAGTTTTGTAAGCTTTTTACTAGGGTTCCAGTATAAGGACGAAAATGAAAGTCTGTTCTAGAAACTTCATTTTTCCCTTGGTTATTCATAATTTCTAATGGTATACAGTACTAATTATTGTTAATTAGAGATAACACTGGGAATACTGAAAGAATAAATGTCCATTTTATATGTTGATCATCTCAAATAACAAATTGTTAGCTAGCAAAATATTTTTTTTATATTTACAATTTACTTTTTAAATATTGGGTTCTTCTTAGTCTAAATTTTTAATTTATTTTTCTTTATGTTTTGTTATATACATAATCTATTAGGATACTAACACATATATTATAAATAAACTAATACATATTGTAGATCCATGTAAAATATTTTAATATTAAGGATCTGTAATAAAAAATCAAGGATTGCTACTTTAAAGAAATTTCCAGTTGGAGAATATATGAATCACATATTTCAAAAGTTGACAAAAAAGGTACATATTTGAAATAGGAATGTTAACCAAAATTTTGATTCACATATAAGTGGAAAACACTACTTTCTATTGGAGTTGAATATGTCATTAGTATATTCTATTAAATCAATCAATCAACCATTTAGCCAACTAACTCACAAATCATCATTATGGATGTTCCTTTCTTTAATAATAGAATCTTTGAAGGGCTTAATCTCACAAATATCTACTGAAAAAATCTACTCACCTACTCAACACTAAATGAACAAATTAACTCTGCCAGAAAGTTGAATATTTAGTGAAATATTCATTTGTCTAAGTTATATGACATCATGTAGTGGAAACAACAAATTGAGTGAATTTATGATTTTCCTACCTATCACCATCAATGAAAAAAGACATACATAAATCCTACCATAGAATTTACTCTTTACCTCAAGTAGCCCAAGGTCTCTTCTTAGGCTGGAATTTAAGCATGATAATTTTGTCACAGTTGTTCTACTCCTGATAAAATTAATGTTTAATACATGTGGTAAACCACATTTTGTCCTTGGTTACTCATAATTTCTAATGATATATAATAGTAATTATTGTTAATTAGGGATAACACTGGGAATACTGAAAGAATAAATGCTATCCATTTTATATACTGATCATCTCAAATAACAAATTATCATCAAAATGTAACAGAATATTAAAATAGTACTCTTTCTGTCTCAGTTTCTGGCAGACAATTACAATTAGTGCACTAATCTCAGGCCCATACCTGGGAAACAAAGTAAGAGGGACTCGTGGCTAGCTGTTTTTATGGCAGAACAAGAGAGGAGTCTATACTGGGATGGACCTGACTCTTGTAAGAGCAAAGAATATGAAGGGTTTCCCAAGAACCAATATGGAATGAGAAAGAGACATGATATTGTTTCACATCACAACCAAAAGATCTGCTGAAGGGGTGGGGAAATGTCAGCAAGAAGAGTCTGGAGGTGGGCTATTGGATGGCAGAGGAGATGTAATTGTCTGCCATCAAGAACTGTGGTGAGAAATTCCCAGTGATGAGAGTTCCTCAAAGGACCCTGAAAAGCACCCAATGAGCAAAAAAGTCAGCCTCAAGCACATATACCAATGCTAGACTGCTAGAACAGAACCAGAGTTTGCCTCACCCTTAACTCCTAACTTTCCCTTAGCTTTACATGAATAAACTGAACGTAGGGAATCAGAGGAAACAGCTTATTGGTCCCCCTTCCACCTACAGAGAAGGCCAACTTGAATTAGGCATGAGCTGGAAGGCAAAAGGTATTAACTTTCAGTACATTTCTTAAAGTTAAAAAAATCATTTTTATTATTACACATCATTTTACTGAGACACTTTGAGAGAATAAAGCAAGCAGATGACTCCCCCCCCCCCCCGCCACCCTCCCCGAGAGTTACTACAAAAGCCACAGGGTCCATTGTATTTGACCAGGGACAAGTAAAAAGAACAAATCTCTAACAATAGATTTTAAGGGCAGTAGGGAAAAAAGAATGACATTGTTTTCTGTTGCATGTACTAGTATACTACAAATTCTGATTGTACAATCTAATGATTTCAAAAATAATAGCTAAAATTTATCAAATGGTTATTATATGCCAGACATTGAATGATTTACATGTATTAAATCATTTTACCCTAGCAATTACCCTATAAGGGAGAGATTAAGTAACTTGCCCAAAGTTGCACAACTAGTAAGTGGCAAAGCCACTCGTGTGGCTATTTGCAATATAAGCCAGTCAGAGAAAGACAAGTATCACACGATCTCACTCATATGTGGAAACTAATGAACAACATAAACTGTTGAACAAAATAGATCCAGAGACATGAAAGCATGGAACAGACTGACAGATATATATATATTCTTTTCTTTTTTTGTAGATGTGGCCAACCATTACAAAATAAAGTACAGCTGAAGGGTCGTGACCTTCTCACTCTAAAGAACTTTACAGGAGAAGAAATTAAGTATATGCTATGGCTATCAGCGGATCTGAAATTTAGGATAAAACAGAAAGGAGAGGTATGTATTTTACCTTCCATTGTTACCAATCAGATTTTGTAAAGACAGCCTTACAAAGAAAGAGGGAAAAGAAAACACATTAAAATTCCTGAACAGTAGCAAGTAATGGAACCACACAGTCAAGGTAATTGATTACTGAGTGTTCAGGCACATAAAAAGCATAAAAATCAGTTATTCAATGACAAATCATTGCACTTCTTTCATGTGGAATGTTGAAATTCATTATTAACTGGATCAGAACCTAAAGAATCATTCTCCAGAAAGATTTTATTTTCATGCCTCCTTTCTTTTCTTTGTGTGTTTTCTATCAAGTTAAAAATAAGGATGAGATAGTATTTTTCTAGCCAAAACTTTCAATTGCGAATGAATATCAGATATATGATCATTAGGATATCAAAAATTTACAGTTGATGTGACAGTGTTTTAAAATTTTATATTAGCAAAGAAACAAATGTTAACCAAGTAGGGGGAAAATGAGATATGGTGCTTAGCTGAAATCATTATTCTGCTTTTTGAGCAATTTATGTTTGCACATGCTTAATTAATTCAGTAGCTTCATTTAGACTGCTTAATTGTGGAAGCATTTTTGTATTCCAAACTTGGATAAAAAGCTTTTATAAAGAGCTGGTTTCAGGCTGAAAAAGTTTTACACAACCCTGATTTTCTTACCTAGTTTACTAACTCTACAAGTTCCTTAAAAACAAACTGAAAACAGAATGACTCCAACTATGGAAGATCTGAAATAAGGAGAAACATCCCCCTCAAATCTTAGGCCTTTGTTCTTTACATTGTGTGTGAGGATGTTTAGCTGGCAGGAATCTATTTGTTCCAGAGCTCATCCTATCGGGAAAGTCCATCTATAGAAGAGGAAGGAGGAAGAGCCCCACCCCACACCAAACTCTCCAAATTGTTTCCACAGGACTTTCAGAAACAAAGCTCTTGCATTCCCACAAGGATGCATAATGAGTGTAGCAGACAGTCTGAGGCTTCACCTTTAGGAGTCTTACTGCCCATGTTGTAACAGGGTAACATGTTCCTAGCTGAGAAAACATTTCCAAACCAAGCATCTTCAAGGTCATTGAACACTGATGGGGATTTCCATGGATTTAAGTAAGAAGATGGTCCCAAGGTGAAATACTAATATACTTTGAAACAAGTGTTCAGATTGACCCCAAAGCAAGTAATAATACTTTCTAATTATGTCAATAATCTTTGGGAGTTCCTATTCCCTTCACCCATTTGTATAGAAAAGGCAAAAAACCCACTTTAAATTCACTTTTTAAGTAACATTTTGGAAGTAGTGTTTAATTATTCTACACTTTTGACAATGTAAAGAATAAGTTTTGAAATATAATCCTTGATATTGGATATAAATATATTTTTCATCTTAATTATATTCTTGTCTTTGATTTTCAGTATTTGCCTTTATTACAAGGGAAATCTTTAGGCATGATTTTTGAAAAAAGAAGTACTCGAACAAGATTGTCAACAGAAACAGGTGAGTAAACCAACAAACTCACCCTTCTGTTGAAGAAGGGCCAGAGAGTTAGGACCTAGGAGAAAGGAATAGCCCTCTGCTCTAACCCTCCAGTGGAAAGTGATGCTGGGCCTGAAAGCTGGTAGCAGTGAAACATCACAAATGGACTTAGACTCTATTACAGGATCCTTAGCAAGTAGAACTATTAGTATGTTTTGTGTTCTATGATTCTACCTGGGACATAGCATATCTGATCTGCCAGGTTTTGCACAAGAGAATGGAAAAACAGGCATACATCTGAAGGAGAGGTCAGTGCTTATACCGAAATTTCCCTAGGTTCCTTATTTTGCTTTGCTTGGGACTTCCCTACTAGAGACGTTGGAGAGCTTTAAAGATTTTGACTTTTCAATTGAGATGGTGACAGTACTTAATAATAATTGTGTTTCCCACTTTAGTTCTTTTTTTTCAAAATGCATTTTTTCTCTTTCTTTTATTGTAGGCTTTGCACTTTTGGGAGGACACCCTTGTTTTCTTACCACACAAGACATTCACTTGGGTGTGAATGAAAGTCTCACGGACACAGCCCGGTTTGTAAATCTTCTTAGCTTCAAATATTATTTCAAAATTAATGGATACATTTCAAAAAGAAAATATGCTTTTCTCTCTCAGTGTCCTCTGTACCAATCATACAATTTCAAATTTAGGGAAAATTAGGAATCATCAAGCATGACCCTTACATTTTACAATTGAAGAAATTGAGGTCCTGGGAAATGGACACAGTCAATGACTCATATCTACTTAGCATTAAAGCTCATATTAATATTAATAGCAAATATTTATTGAGCATTTATTATGTGTCAGCATTGGTCTAACTCATTTAATCCTTATAACAACCCAAAGAGATTCACATAAAGATGTGAATCAACTTAATTAGGGTCATACTAACTACTATAAATACAAAATCTCAAAATCTCAATGGCTTAACATAGTGTGGATGTTCCTGATTGGTAAGAGGAAAGGGATAATTATTTATGTGGCTATTGAGAGACTCTGAATGAGAGTGGCTCTACAATCTTCAACATGTGGCCTCTAAGGTCACCCTGGATGTCAACATCCAGCCAGGAGCTAGGGGAAGAAAGCATGGAGACCAGATACTTGCTTCAAAGCCACCTTAGCAGGGAAGTGGAACAATCACTTCTACTCACATACTGTTGACAATTTCTAGCAGCTCACCCCTACCCAGATGAAATAGAGGTGGGGAAAGGCTTGTAGCAACTATACTGAAGATTGAAACATAGGGGCCACTGATTCCCCATGCAGTACTCTCAACATTATATCATGTCTGGTTGAGAAATACAAAGCAAATGTCTTTGTTTAGATATTTTAACCTTGATATGGAAGATTAATGCTTTGTTTTGTTTTTCTGAAAACGATGTGCCATAAAGCAACTCCTTGCAGACACTGCCTCCTTTTTATGGTAGCTGAAGAGATTTGAAATAAACCAACTTTAAATATTTCTGTTACATTATTTCAGATGAGACAATGCTAGTATTAAGAAGTGTTGAACAAAAAGAATAAATAAACACAAATGAGGTTTTCTTCCAAATATGCTGCCACTGACTGGGATTATATTTGCCCAATAATTCTCCTTTCACAAAAATGAAGTATACTTTATTCAAGAGCAAATATAACAAGCTGGTCAAGAGATGAAGTCAGGGTCACAGCCAAGATAGAGTTTCAGTGGGGATCTTCCATATAGGACCAAGTGACTGATGGTAAATCAGTCATGTGTGAACTAGTGGTTTGAAAAGGGTACAGTTGTAAGAACAGCTAAGCATCCAATAAATGGTTAAGGAGTGCAGATTGGCAGCCAGAAAGAGGTCAGGGCCCAGAAATCAGTGGAGTGGGCAGGACCCCCAAAACAAGAGACAAGTAGCCAAGCATGGGTTGAAAGATGAGGATGAGTATAAACATGTTTTTGTGTGTGTTTGCTCTGTACACAATTCCCATCACAAGTTTTTAGTCAGAGATGCTCTACACAGATCCTGAGAAAAACCAATCTGCTTACAAGTTCCAACATGTTTGGGACCTTTTAGTCTACATATGTAATTAGATCCATTGCTACGTGTATATATGGATACATAAAATTTGAACCATAGAATTCCTTCTTATCCTTCCATCTTATCCAAAAGACTATGAATGCAAATAATAACTCCTCCTTAAAGGGTATATACCATAGACCTCTTGTACTATTATCTCTAAATCTTTGTAAAAAACTTACAAAGTAATTATTGGCCCAATTTTATAGACAATGAAACCATGATTCAGACTTAGCAGCTAAATCAGCAGTTAAAGCATGCTGTGTTTTTAAGGCTACGCTGTTTTGAGTACTGCCTCTTCGAAACATCCCATGAGAGGGTCAGTGAAATACGTTATGAAAATCATTTGCTTCTGTGTCATGAGGTCCCCAAGACCACCACCATGTTTGATGATTCACCGGTAGGATTCACAGCACTCAAAATATGATCATACCCATGGCTGTGATTTATTACAGTGAAAGTATACCAATCATAAGCAGCAAAGGGAAAAGACACATGGAGCAAAGTTCAAGGGAAACCAGGTGCAAGCTTCCATGAGTCCTCTCCCAGTGGAGTCACTCAGGATGTGCTTAATTCCATTGATAATAAGTTGTCACAACACATGCAAAATGTTGTCAACCAGGGAATCTTCTTAGACAGTAAGTACTTGGTGGTTTTACTGGGGGATGGTCACATAGCATCCTTTGTTTGACATTTACCCAAATCCCAGAATCCCAGGAGGAAAGAAGGTGTTTATTTATTTTTATTTTTTAAAAAATATATTTTTACTCATTTCAGAGATAAAGGGAGAGGGAGAGAGTGATAGAAACATCAATGATGATAGAGAATCATTGATTGGTTGCTTCCTGAGCATCCCACACTGGAGGTCGAGCCCACAACCTGGGCATGTGCCCCTGACTGGAATCAAACCTGGGACCCTTCAGTCCACAGACCAATACTCTATCCACTGAGCCAAACCAGCTAGGGCAGCAGGTGTTTAATTTAAACCATATTGTTTGTAAAAACAGTTTTGGCACATCAAGCAACTCTTATCAGGCCTGGGAATGGTGGAAACGCGGTCTAAACCAAAGTTCCTAGACATAGAGGCATCTTACAAGCAGTGCGTTCAAAAGATAGTAATCAGGCTTTCAATCTTAACTCTTTTCTGCATGGCTTGAAAATATCTCTGGATCTTAATTTCCTTTTCTAAAATGTGAGGGAGTTCTGATTCTTAAGTTTAACTTTATGCTCTCAAATGCATGCAAATATATGAAATACAAAGTGGTAGTCCTCAAATAGAGGTGTGTCCCAATGTAAACCACGTGTAGACAGTTGCAGTGTAATTTGGATTGGGGTGGAGATAGGAGGTGGAGAGATAATTTATAATTCTGAAGGTTAGGGTTCATATGAGCATCTATATTTTAATAAGCTCCTGAAATGATTTAGCTGCAACAGTGGCTGAACCACACTTTGAGAGACTCTGAATTGAAAGGTTGTGTTGTAATTCTGGGCTCTTGTGCTTCAATCTATGCTAGCACATTAGTGAAGGGAATGGTAAATAAGAGACAGTTAAACTATTTATATGGCTTCATGATAAGTGATTACAAAGGGTACATTGATAGTGGAGACAAAATTATTTCAGATTAAGTATTATTAAAATATTTATGTATGTATTAGAAGAAGAAAATGAAAGAAATTTCTGCTTTCAGGAGAAGGTGATAGATTAGGTATTGGACATATTTCATTAAAGGCTGTACCTCCAAATACAAATAAATTGTCATAGACCATTGGAGATAAAGACCTTGAGTAAAGTTGAAAGCTGGGGAAATAGCAGTATAAGTTCAGTGATAGAAAATGACCTACAGGGTCTCATAGCAGGAGAACTGCCGAAGGCTGAATCTTGAGAACAGGTGCAGTTAAGGAGGGGTAAGAGGAATTCATCAGGGTACAAGGAGAAGGATAATAAGGTTAGTGAGGCTGCAATGGGAGATGGAAATGTCAGAAGTTAAGGTAGAATAGCCACTGTGGAAATCCGACTTTCTTTTGTGTATCTCATTACTACTTGATCTGCCAAAATATATGACAAACAAGATATTGCTGAGATTCAGAAATTCCATAAATCTAAATTGAAGAAGACAAGAGAAACCCACTGCCTTTCACAGAGCAATTGAACAGGAGATGGAAGGAAGTAAATCTTAATGACATCTATCTGCCAATATGCATTGTTCAGTCCATAGCAATTGTGTCCTTGCTTTTCGTAGAAATTAAACTTTGTAAGATGCAAGTAGATTAGATAATGTTTAAACAACAGTGCTGGCCCTTTGAAATAAAGAGACTAGTGCCTACTTGTCAATAATTGATGGACTTGATTCTCCATCTGACTGTCTGGCTATTTTGAGGACCCTTACAAGTTGGTCCTGCCTCAGCCACTAAAGGGAGGGGAAATAAAATCAGATCAAGGAGTAAAAAAGTTAAATACACATTCAAAATATAATGTGTTACTTTTTTCTTTATTTTTTAAAAATATATTTTATTGAGTTTTTACAGAGAGGAAGGGAGAGGGATAGAGAGTTAGAAACATTGATGAGAGAGAAACATTGATCAGCTGCCTCCTGCACACCTCCTACTGGGGATCAAACCTGGGACCCTTCAGTCCATAGGCCAACGCTCTATCCACTGAGCCAAACCGGTTAGGGCTCTTTTTTCTTTCTTGATTAAAATAATAAAACCTGTTTATTCTTCCAAATATTGTGGGCAAATTCTTCGAAAGTCCAAGTTTTCAGAGACTAGCTAAGGGCCAACCTGGTAAGCAGACTGAAGAGAGCCATGTCAGGACTACTATGTTCTTTTTTCACAACAGGGATACGCTCTCTCCTTTGGATGTTTTTTTCTAACTTTCCTTTACCTAGATATACTTTAACTAGTAAGGGAATATATTCTACATCCATGAGAGGATAGTCTTAAGATTTGAATTGTGTGTCCTCAGTTCACTGTGGGTCCCTATAGAGCCAGACTCCCATCAGATAGAATAAATTGTTGCTCACTTCTCTCTTTTGAAAAGTATCTCTTAACAACTGTTCTCTACCCCCTAACATATCAGGAGACACAAAACATATACATATATATTCAGTTAAATTTGCTTCAGGTATTATGGTATTTTCAGATGTTGTCAATTCTCTGATGCTCTGCTGGGGTTGAGTTGGATATTCTTTTTTTCCCCGCCTTGCTTTAGATGTGACACCTTAGCATGACTCAGATCACTGATTTTTTAAAAGTTTTAAATCAGTTGGAATTTAGGAACATCAGAAAGATATTAACACTCCAGTTTCAAAGCTTTCTGTTTCTTCCATAATGATAGCTGTTCCTGTCTAATGCTCTGAGTCCACTATTGAAAGGTGCATAATAGCTTCACAATCATTTTCATTTTCATATAGTACTTCATAATGCAGCTTCAGGAACTATGTGTATGAAAAGCTTAATATAAAAAAAATAATGTAACATTGTTCTAC